TGTGATCGGGTCCTCTTTCTCTGAATCATCTCCAGTGCTTTTTATTAGAGGTCTATTAATATGCCATTCTCAACAGGTGTGAGATGACATGCCACTGTGGTTTTGACCCACATCTCCTTTATTAAAAGCAATTATGAATATTTTTCCTTGTCTCTACTGGCCTTCTGGGTATCCTCTTTGGTGAATGTCTGTTCAGATCTGCTGGCTATTTATAAGTTTGATGGTTTGTTTTTCTATTTTCAGATAACATAATGTCCCCAGTTTCTTTCCTTTTTTCAGGATTGCATTTGTTCTGTGAGATCTTTTATGGTTCCATAGCTTCAAGTAAATTTTAATATTTTTTGTTAAATTTTTTTGGAGAATATTGTTTGCATTTTAAAGAGGGTTGTGTTAAGTTTAGATATCTCTTTTGGTAGAACAGTAATAATAACATTTAGCAGGTGAAACACACATTAAGTAGGTATTGTGATTATCCAGGACACGACGTTTGATGAGTTTGGATATTTGGATTATACTGCACACACCCAGATCAATACACTGATGACCACCTGTCATATTTCCTTTTCTTAAAAATAAGCAACTCAGAGGATATCAACGTGGGGGTGGGGCTTTCAGTGAGTTCACTCAGGTACTTGGGCAGTGTAGGAAGAAACTGTTTCCTTCTTCTCTGTATCATACATTCTGTATGATTTCTAAGGTCCTCATTAAAATTCTTTCTGAAGAGAATTTCTTACCTGTTTGTCTCTTAAAGATAAGAAAATGGATTTGTCTCATTTATCCTTATCACCATCCTCAGAAATAACACAGCATACAGAAAGGTGCTCAATAAAAAAAGACAAGAGCTACGTTCTCTTTAATTTCTATTGTGCACCACATACCCTGTACCAAAAACATCACAAGCTTGGGTTTAACTTTCATGAGAAGCTTGGGTTTTTTATTCCTATTACCCAAAGATGAAAAAACGCAAGAGTAAGCAACTTGGTGAAAATCACACAGAACACAGCAGTCTATGAAATTAGGTCCATCCATGTCCAAAGCTCATTATCACCAAACATCCCTGGGGTCCAGCAAGGCATTAAAAACTACAATATTCCACAGGGTGCACCAACAGGATACTTCCTAACTATGCGATGTTCCCATGTTATCAGCACCAAACTGAGTCATCCCACAACTCAATCTTAAATACGAAGAAAACCACAAAGAAAACCATAATCTCTGGGCAGCTAAATCCAAAATACTAGATACTCTGCTGCTGTTTTCCTAAGCCCTAATATTCTAGGAATTTTATCAGTTTAGACTGAACCAATAATTTTAATGACATTTCCATAGAGATAATTTGGAAACTTTAAACAGCCATTCTAAACAGCATTCTGGCATGTAGAAGAGGTAAGTAAGCCTTAAAGATTATTGCTTTAAGAAGTTTTCATTAAAGGGGAAGTCACTGATCTTCCCCTTGCCGTAAGTATTCCTAAGGGATACTGACATCCATGCCAGCGCTAATTGAATGTAACCAGGGAAGGAGATAGACGCAGTGATCAGAGAACTAGCCAGAAGCAAAAGTGGGCTGACAGTGCACTCAGGGCCAGCTAGGGGAGACCTTCTCCAGCTTGTGGCCCTCTCAAAAATGAGAAGAACTGGTTGCTCAATCTGTCACTTTATTTGACCTGTTCTGGCACGGAATAAATTATTAGAATGAAATTAAAGAATAAATGTTCTCCTGCCTTTCTTCTAAAGAACAGAGAAAGTTCAACAGGTAGAACTGCAGATGGATACTACACTGTCTCCCCGTTCAGTTCATACCACGGAGTGTCCCAAACCAGCTGTGCACACAGATGGGAAAGCCCTTCAGAGCTACACAGACAAATGAGTGCACATCGCCACTTTGATCTTTTCTCGTTAGTTCCAGAATCACCTGTCTGACTACCTACGAGGCAGCGCACTGGCAATGCACCTACACTCAGCCTGGGTTTGAATCTGCTCTACCACCTTGCAGCTGTATTCATCTTCTTTGCCTACTGTTCAGTTTCCTCATGTGTAGCATGGAGCTACCAACATGCAACACAGCACAGCAAGTGAAACAATACAGGAACAAGCATGGTGTAGTGGCCCAGCAATGTTTCCATGAGGGAATTCCTTTG